ATATTGCGACCAAAATTTGAGTACGGAGGTACATTGTGACGAGGAATCTACCAGTGTTTGCCAAAAAATTCCATTCTGGCCGCTTTCTCCGGAATCGCGAAAATCTGGGGTGACCTTATAATTATGAAACGCACTGTATATCCTCTATTACTATATCCTATATACTATTACTATATCCTATATTATTATATCCTATTATATTTCTACTTATTCGCTTTCTTTGCCAGACGTTTAGCTTCCTGAGTGATCTTACTCTTTCATTATCCCACCGATCCAGCACTGCCATCAATCGCAGCATTTTTCATCTTCCTTTGGCGTACACAGTAGTCGAAAACTCTTTTCTCGAGTGGAAGGGGTACACTACGATTGCAAAAGATATACCCGAGCTTTTTGAAAGCATTGCAACCGCACTGAGTTTGGTGCCCGATTCCAGCTGGTCGGCTAAGGGGAAGGGACAGGTGATAGCCGTGACGTAACATCATCTGCATACTCGAGACTAGAAAGTACTGTGCCTCAGATCACTACCAGTACTGGATCCTCTAACATCACTATCAGCTCTGGATGATTACTTTTCCTTGCAAGGGTTCCATGGTGCGGACCATTATAGCCTGTCGGAAGCTTTTCTATAATCAGCGAGAGCAACACAAACTGGAAAACTATATTCAGCGTTCTTTTCTGCAGTTTGATTGAGGATATGGAACTGATTGAGCATAGAGTGTTTTCTTCTGAACCCAATTTATGCTGTGTTCTCCTTCTCCTCAAGCTTTCTATCTGATTTAAAGCTACTCATGGGATAGCTTCTAGAACTCCTGATATCAGAGACATTGGTTGGGAATTGTTTGTATCGCTGGAATTCCCTTGCTTTGGAGTGCTTCGGAGTGTTGATAAGCTATGACATAGTAGCCACTCAGAAGGCGAGGGAAGCGAGCCTTACTAGGGTAAAAATAGAACGCATGGTCAAGGCACAAGCGCGGGTTCGAGTCACATCGAATGCCGAAGCTCAGTTCATATTTTGCCAGTCTTGTGAGACAATATCAAAATTGATGGTAATTTGGAGTGGAGACTAGCTCGAGTAAAAGAACAGCTTGATTATGTGCAATACGGTTCGTAGCTAAACCGAGATCAGGCAAAAGCACTTCAGTGAAAAGACAAGCGAAAACGAAAGATGGGAAAAATTTACAACACCGAATCGATATATCATACAACAACGAAAGGAAGAAAACGTCACCTCGAAAAAGGATGTAATGCGATGCTTTGAGTGCTCGAAAACTGACTGCTTTCAATGTCTATTCACGATCGCATCGAAGAGGGGCGGCGGCTTTTAGAGAATTGATCTTTTTTGATATCCTTTTCTTTTTTATCTTCTTCTATATCTTTTTTGAATCGACTTTTTGTGAAAAAATTAAGTAGATAATACTGATGGGGTGTCTGTTGTACACATGAAGAAAAGCTCGACCCCATCCCTTACATGAAACAGATTCTCACACACCGCAAAAATGTGGTGATATGAACAGTCTTTTACCATAGATATTTTGCCATCTTTGTCCACGGCACACTTTTCTATGCCTCTACATTTAACTTTTTACCCACTTCTCCTGCAACAGCTAGTTCTGCTTAATTAGCCGGACCCATTCAGAAGGCTTACGCAGTAGGATGGATGCTGACCACTGTTCCTTGTAAAGAGGAACTCGGTGGTCGTCTACCAACCTTCAAAATATACACGATGCTATTACGAAGTATACATTATATCTTTGATGAATGACTGATAAACCTCGTAGAGCGCACTTTTAAATGCATCTAGGATATCTCACAAAGAGGGCGAAGTGTGGGCGAAACTTTGACCTTGATTCATACTTGTGCTTTCCGGGCACCACTCTCTTTATCCCTTATGCGCTAGAACCTACCTAGCAGTTGACTTACTACTATAAGCCCCAAAAAGGATGACTTTGTGTTATACGAAAGCCTAGGAATCTAATTGAAATGAAAATTTTGTTCTCTATTCGGAAGCCTATATGAGCCATTACTGATTTAAGGAAAACTTTTAAGAAGAAGCTTCGAAACAAAGCTGGCTTCAAGGAACGCTATGTCTATGGCGCCCACCTCGAAGATATAGAAACTGTAAGTTACTTTTGTCCACTGATATTCACTTAAGATCGAAAATCAGGCTTGATATATCCAGCTGCCTTCCGCTGAAAGCAAATGGGTGGGTTCATTTCGTATGCGTGCTAAACGTTCCGTGACTAAGGATTCATCCTCGAAAATAATACCTGTCAACAAGGAGCGCTACGATCTTCTAGATAGTAAGTTCTGTTTTAGATAGTGAAATGTTTACAACTTCGTCAATTCTGGAACGATCTCAGGTCATCAGTACTCCCCGCTTGCGACGATTGCGAAAAGCCTTCTAAGGCAAGTTAGAAGATTGAAAAAGAAGGACGAAAATGGGGCTCAATAGTGAGTCATCTTCATGGTACATGTGAGAGATTGATAGCTGTTGAGAAGTTTGGACGAATTTAATATTATATATGTATACCAAAATATTAGTTGCGAAAGTAGTGATGAACCACTAATTCAGCTGGAAAGATACGGTCACAGAGCTTCAAGTGGAGGCAGAAAAATTAAAAAAGAAGAGAAAATTCGAACAAATGCTCCATAAGCGTCTCGATTATGCCAGGAGAGCGTTGCGCGATCGTAGCACTTCTCGAACTACTATGAAGGTGGGTTGTGATGTCTTCTTCCTTGTAGACCGATTCTCTATATCGATCTGCCGGTTTTTGATGGTATTTCTTATATTTTCTTGTCTACCAATAATGACACGACTGCGATAGACATGTATACTTTGCGCAAATCTGAATTCGTTATTGGCATGATATCGTTATGTTTGAACTTTTGTACAACAGAAAATTAGAGCATCAACTTAAGTCTAGTTTGCTTCCTTATATGTGCATTTGCCACCAAGTGCGCCTGGGTGGTTGTTTTGCCTTTCGGTTGCAAAATGCAGTTTAACTACTGCTTTGCCGTACGGGTTTGTTATGGCTGAACCACTTTATTGGTCAACGTTTCGACTGAATCGTCGTCTTCAGGACCTGAAAATAGTTCGAAGCTCTTGATCTGTGACTTACCCGACCAAGCGCCCAAACGCGCTAGGCTAGTTGCAACGACTCCCGGAAACTAAAATACGGAAACGTTTCAGTAAAAAGACCAACCTTCTGCAGATCCACCAGCGTTACGTCCCACTCTATGTGAACAACAAGGGACCAATGAGTCACCATTGATGATCGTAAGATAAGAACTGTGAGGGTGATCTCCAAGTCCACNTATTGGTCAACGTTTCGACTGAATCGTCGTCTTCAGGACCTGAAAATAGTTCGAAGCTCTTGATCTGTGACTTACCCGACCAAGCGCCCAAACGCGCAGGGCTAGTTGCAACGACTCCCGGAAACTAAAATACGGAAACGTTTCAGTAAAAAGACCAACCTTCTGCAGATCCACCAGCGTTACGTCCCACTATGTGAACAACAAGGGATCAATGAGTCACCATTGATGATCGTAAGATAAGAACTGTGAGGGTGATCTCCAAGTCCACAAAAGGGAATGAACGGGGAATGTTATGGTCAAGCACTCACTTCGGTTGTTCAGGCCTGGATTTTTCGTGCGAATATGTAACGCTTCCAGTATCTTTCTGGCACCGATCTCATTCTAGTAGGCTAGGATTTTACATTCGATGTCGAAATCATTGCCTTGATGACCTTCTAGTCGGTGCCTCCCAAGTGGTGTTAGTAGACTTCCACGCCTTTTCCTGCCAGATGTTCTTTGACACGTATGCCAAGCACCCTTCCCGTCTCACCAATATATGTTTCGTCACAGACTGAACACCGAAGTTGATGCTTAGACACTTTTCAGCTGGAAAATTTTGATGCGTTGACTTTTGAAGTTTTTGTGATGCTGGCAACAATTTCTTACAGAAAATGAACATATTTGGAGACTACGACAACGATAATGGAGTAGATGACGTGATGAGGAAAGCATGGAGGAAGGAGCAGGATACAAAATACAATGAGGAATTGATGGAAATGCCAGTGAATCTTGTTCGTGAAGGTACGAACCCTTTGATTTTATAAGAGCACACGAAATTGTATATGTCACATTGTTCAGCTGCCAAACTAACATATATGTTGGATGGAGGAAACTCAACGGATTTAGACAACAAAGTCTTCGAGATCCTGTCACCACGATTGCTTCCCGTTCTTCCTGAAGAGAGAAAAGACGACAAGGTAACATCCTACATAACTGCCTACAAGTTTGCGTTATTTCGAAATTAACCCATCCCTTCGGTCAGTGTTGAAGAACGTGGTTGCTCCATCAGTGCTATCACTTTCGCTTGCTTTGCTACTACTTCTGCTTACCCGGCCGTAACATACACGTTATACAGGGCACACGCTTGAAAGGGGGTATGTGGCATCATGTGCATCCGAGGATGCGCGCGGCAAATTGCGCGGCGAACTTCGTAGCGATTTGAAGGACTTTAGCGCCTTTCATTGGGGTCCAAATTTGAAGTAGAATAAATTAGAAGGATCAACTGACCTTACTATACTTTCCTTCGAGTTTGTCCTTCGAAAATTGGCGTCAGAGTCGTACAAATCGTCACGAACAGTTGCCGCGCGCGTCCTCAGACGCACATAGTGGCCTCACTCGCTTGAAATGTAACATTCGCGACAACGTTCTCGTGTCGTTATTTGTTATTTTCCTACCTGTCATCCCTCCAATCGGGCATGAAACCCCAGTGGGTTGCAACGAAGTATTGAGCTTGCCTGGATCATTAATGAGGATCTATCTAGAGTGCGAAGTTTTCATCTGTGTATTAGAATAACACACATACGCACACACATAATAGTTCTCTTATGTACCTGTAGATCAGCCCTGTTTAACGAGCTTAGAGGTACTATATGAGGTAATATGAAAAAAGCTCGAAGCAAGAATTTGCTCACCGGTCTGGATGGTGAACGGAAGGGGTTCGTGAATATACAGATTAATATTGTTGTTTGTAGATCTGTTTATTTACCTTATGAATTTGATGGTTACTGTTCATTTTTTGCAGATCAAACTCCTTTCACCCTCACTATTCCCTCTTCATGATAGAGATCGCGGTTTTGAAAATGAGACCAGCTTGACGAATACAGCTTCTGCAATTGGCGAGAAAGAGAATGATGCTGTACTCAACCTCATCATGGAAGCAAGTGGAGTGTCGGATATTCTCAGTATCATGAAGGTTGTTTGTCTGTCTAATGTCAAATAATGAAATCTTGGAAACAATACACGGTTCTGTAGTAGAAAGGAATGCGAGTAACTGAAGTGTTGCTTCTCAGAAAGGTGTTTATTGAGAGAGATGTATTATGCAGGAGAATATCGACGTGCCTCTTAAGTCAGAATAACTTCAGAAAACTGTTCTCTTCAGGGAGAGGACAGTACAAACAAAATTCGACTTAGAGACGATGCTTTACGTGGACCGAATGGTCAGCCATTATACTTTACAAAAGAAAATGTGACCACCATGTTTGGAAAAGAAGAAGCACTGAAAGTAGAACTTTTCGAGCGCCTTCAACGCTCACTTACGAGCGAGCAGGTATCACCTTTGTAATCCTTTTCTTTTGAATGTTTACGGGTGTACTAAGAGTGAGAACACAGCATTTTGCAGTAGCTCAAGCAGGATCGAAAGCTCATAAAGGAGTTACCAAACGTTTTACAACAGCGCGGTGTCTTTAGCTTCGATGACCGCCCCCTCGGTTTGCAGCAAGCCGAGGACGGGATGGAAGTGCTCGTCGTCAATTTCACTCTGTTCTTCAGAAAGAATGTTTTTTTGAGACTCCATTCCAGAATAAGAAGCAGTACATCTCTCAGGTGACCTGGTAGTTCGAAAAAGTAAAATTCAGAGCAGCCTGCCAGTTCTCAGTACATAGATGTTCTATGGATGGTCTCGGCACCGCTGCTTAACGATTTTAGCTTTTCATGTGTATTTTCGAAGCTCTTGTTACTCTACTTTATTCGTTAGCTTTCGGCATATAATGCCTTCTTCAGACCTTAACTTTACAATACATAGTTGCAAACAATCAGTCAACAATCAGTTACTACATAGAACACATCATATCGTATCAAACCAACTGGAAATAGTGGGGAAAAGGGGAGTGAACCTATTAGCGGGGAACTTGAAAGAAAAATGGAACACCGCTCT